ATCAAAGATTAGGGGAAGTGTTGAAGATTTAATCTTTTATCTATAGTTGAAGTTGTTGAAGAATGAAGAAAGCTTTTGAAGATTGAAGGGAACCAACAGCATTATGAAGATTGAAGATTTTTAGTTAAACGATGTAGTTTTATTTCATTTAAGTTTAGAGTGTTTAAACGTTGTCGTTTTATAAGTTTATGCTTAGAGCAATACGACACTATGCTTTGCTGTTTTATATTTGTATCGTCTTCTCTTTATTTTACTTTGTTGTTTGTGAGGAGTTGTTACCGTTGCTGTAGCACAGAAATCAATGGCATTTGTTTCTGTGCTCAACTGGGTTAGTTGGTAATGCACAGTAGTCGAGGCTAGATTTAAGGAGTTTAGTTTTATCAGTGTTGATATAAATACTACAAGGGAATAACAGTCGAAAATCTTTTTCCCAAAATTTGAATTGTTTTCGATTCTCTTTGTTTTCCCTCTCTGTTCTTGTGTTCTTCATTCTCTTGAGTTTTTCTTGTCAAATTCACTACAAGGCAGCGCCAAGCTACATCAGACTGATTTACCCAGAGCATTACCAAATATCAATCATCCGCCTGCTCCTGGAAGGATCAAACGACAGACATGAAGGCCATGACCAATTAATATTGCTAGGCTTTCTGTGATCCATGTATCCACAACGGTCAATCCATGATTTTTTTTTTTTTGGCCGAGGCAGTCTATCTATGATTCAAACTGTTTAAGTTGCCTCCAATTTCCCTTTTTTATTTTTTTATAAAAAAAATGTGAAATAGCACCTTCAGTTGTGCTAATCCAGTACTATTGGAATGGTAATGAGTCTGCTACCAAGGAAATGAATATTTTTCTGCCGCTAATGAAGGATGAATAAATGGGTAACTGCGAAGAAAATTTGAGTGATGAAGAGTCCAAATTTCACTACGGTGGCAAATCTCAATGGAAAAATGTAGAAAAATCATCCAATGACAAGTTTGAATTTCTAGTTTGCGTGAAAGACTAAACGATTCTTCGCATCACTAGTCACAACAACCACAAAAAAGGAATGCATAATTTGTTACGCAAATGAGACTTCAACTAACATTACTCTACATATGTTTCGTGGAAAAATGAAAGACATCAGTCATTATTTGAATACCATTGAATTCGTTTTCCAGTTTGACGTATATCCTAGCATTATTTTTGAAGTAAATCAAATTTCGATAGAATTTTGCAGCCTGGGTAATTATAACAGTTTGATCTGTCACCTCTCAAGAAATTAATCTTCTGGTCCTGATTTGTTCTGACAGAGGATGATGATTCTTATGATTTTTTCTTAGTACGTGTTAAAGGGTTTTTAGGTACACATAAATTCTTTGTTGACTATTACTCCTAAAGATAATGTTACTTTGGCCAGGATCAGAACATGGTGATCTAGAATCTCTGATTTGGATTAGTCAAGTTTCTGTTTTGACACGACAAGGGTAATCCTGTAATCATAGCAGGGACTATTTCGACTATAAGTTCAGGCATCCTGGAATCATTTCAGGCAATAAAAACTGCAGAACAAAGGGGAAAAAGGGCAAATGGAGAGATTGTGCATTCTGTTGTTAGCTTGTCTGGTGGCTTCTGCTGCTGCCCAAAGCGCTTCCAATGTGAGAGCTACTTACCATTTATACAATCCTGAGCAGCATAACTGGGACTTGACTGCTGTAAGTGCTTTCTGCGCCACCTGGGATGCCATAAGCCTCTGGAATGGCGCCGCAAATATGGATGGACCGCCTTTTGTGGTCCAGTTGGTCCTCGAGGGCAAGCTGCTTGCGGCCGGTGCTTAAGGGTAAGCAATTTTCTGCTTTAACTGTTTAGGCCAAATAGCAGCACTTAAAAGTTTATTCTTGCTTGTGTAGGTGACCAACACCGGGACTGGAGGTCAGGCAACGGTGAGAATCGTTGATCAATGCAGCAACGGAGGCCTAGATTTGGATGCCAATGTGTTTAAACAACTTGACACAAATGGGATCGGCATTGCACAAGGCCACCTAATTGTGAACTATGACTTTGTGGATTGTGGTGACTAAGAGCACTCTGCCCTGTACTCCCAAGCAACTTTCAAGTTACAATAAGAGTTTCCACTGCCTCATGAATAAATTATCTCCATAAGAAAATAAACTAGCTGCTTGTAAGCTCAATATATATTATGAACAAATTTTTCTACAAAGCGTCAGCTTCCAGCTTCCTGCCTTCCTCTGGTCTAAAAGTAGCATTTTCCAGTCATATTGCAAAGCAAAACGTACTCTATGTTCTTACATTTAAGTTGATTCCTTCCTATAGTATGCTATGTTTCAATCAGAAAAACTGAACTAAGTCACTGTTCCTAGGGGAAGTTCAGCTTATGACTTGGCTGATGAAATAAGGAGTAAACAAAAATTAGTAAGAATAGAAGGAATAACTTGGGAATTATATGAAGTATGTTAATTTACGGTAATTTTGTTGGACTAATTAATCATACCTTATAAAATCTATAAACACCACACTTGGCTCTAATAACGAAGAAAATGTAGTCATGGGAATGACACCAGGAATCGACTCCGAGAATAACCTGTTTGAAAATAAATCCTTTAAAATGAGA